GCAAGCATAGCAGCCAATGGGCGGCCGACAATGTATGAGACCTGGACGACGCAGTCTCAGAAACCAGAAGTCTTTTTAGTATTGATAGTCACTCGCCCGTTGGATACTTGGTTGATATTTTTATTTCTAACGGAGTCCACCAAGGGTGGAGCTCCAGCAATTCCCAATCTGCCAAGTGTGGGGCGAGTAGTGTGTTAACGCTTACTTCTTCCGTCGTACTCACTGTCCAGACATCGTACACGACCTCTGCAAGTGAACGAGTAGGAGACGTTCGCTGTTAGGGTTATGAGCCCAAAATTGGAGTAAACTTCCAGAACTTACGTGAACGCTGACGGTGTCGTGGACGCTGCCTTTGATGTCAGACTTACTTGGTACTCCGTCTCCGACCGCGTCGCGACGGATGATGGCTGTATCAGCGCCTGCAGCGTCAGTAGCGGCTGGACCGGTAGGTCCGTTGGCTGGTGGTGCTGGCGGGATGCCTGTCCTTCAGTCTCCACAGCCGCAGTCTGTTTCTGCGTTGAGCTCACCAACTTCAACACTCATTTTGACTGGAACTCCGGTGGTGAACGCTCCAGCGAGGTTGCATGCTAATGAAGAACAACAACGAAGGATACCATTGCCACCGCCTAACCTAGCGTTGGATGTGAACAAAAACCCACCAAAAATGGCAGGAAGCTTTAACCTCTATCGCGCTCAAGTTATGGCCTATTTACATCGACTTAATGCTTGGGGTCTGATCGATGGATCCGTACAGCGTCCGATTGTAAATGGGGAACTTCAACAGCGCTACGATATGTTGGACTTCTTTGTAAAAGATACGTTGCTTCGAGGTGCTAAAGTTGAAGACGCTGAGCGTATGTGTGATCTTCCAACTGGCAAGGAAATGTCGGAAGATCTGGAAGCACACCACACTAAGCGTGAGTTTTCTAATTACGTGTGGGTATTGAAGCAATTCTTCCACGCAACTTACACTCGTGAGCAGACGATGGATTCTTGGCTTCAGGAAATTCACGATACACGTCGTGCGTTGGCTAATCTGGGTCGAGGTTATCGATGATGATCTCACTGTGGACGTGATTCTCATGGGAGTAGTGCAGACACACAGAGATGTCGTGCGTCAGTTTTCTCGCATCATGGCTCCCGGGTCCCGACCCACTCTGCAGCAAGTCTTGAGCACACTGAAGTCCGAGACCGAGATGGATGAGATCGTCCGCGATGAGGAAAAGGGAAACTCGAAGATCATGCACGTGGCTAAGAAACAGAAAACTTGTGACAAATCTAGTAAACATATTAGCTGGGTTAAACCCAGTGGAGCACAATCTCGTGGAGCTAAATCCAGTGAAGCAGGAAGCAAAGCCAATCAAAAGTCTGGTCCTTGTAAACGAAAGAAGGGCAAGTGCTTCTATTGTGATAGAGAAGGCCATCACAAATTTGAGTGTCGTAAGCTCAAATTTGATCTGAAGCACGGCAACGTAGATGCTGAAAAGGCAAAGTGTGGCAACAATTCCGGGGATAGCTCTAGAGGATATGGGGGAAACAAAGGTGGACCTCCTCAGCCGTTACCATTGGGAATGATCGGTCGTGTTGAAAATACTTGTGCTGTGTCAAGTACTGGGTCTACATTATTGTCGACGTTTGATACCTCTAATTCATTGGAGTGGATATCAGACACAGCAGCTATTACGCATACCTGCGCTGACCGGTCACTTATGACACAGTTCCCGCACTACGTGGAGACGAACACGCCACATGATTCGTGGACAGGAGAAGTAACAACGGAACATTTGGTGTCTCAATTGCCTGTATCTTTCCTATCCACACAAGATAGACGTGGCGAAACTGGAGAAGCGCTTGATTGCGTTCTTACTGGAGTTCGTAATGTTGTTGGATGTCACGTTAATCTGCTAAGTGTTAATGCACTTGAAGAGCAAGGCTGGCAATGTGAGTCACAGTATCCTCAGGACGGACCTCCAAGGCGGCTATTATGGAAGGGGCCGACAGCAATAGTGTTTGTCAAGAGTTGACGTTACTATCGCACTCGTGGTTTGTGTAATTCACCTCAAGTAGTTGCATCATTTGTGGCTGGAGGTGAATCGATATTTCGGTGGCATCTTCGCTTTGGTCATGTGAATTTTGCAACATTGCAGCAGCTCCATCGTGATCAGATGGTTTCAGGCATGACGATGTCTCCTAGTGAGCGCACTAGAGATGCGATGGATTGCCTAAGCTGTACATTAGCAAAATCGCGAAGAATGTCATACAAGAATGTGTCTCCATGTCGATCAATAAGGTGTTGTGAAAAACTGATGACCGATGTCTGTCACTATGGTGAGGTCTCGGTTGCTGGAAAGGTGATGTTTCAGCTCGTGGAGAACGAATACTCACGATACCTATGGGGCTTCTTACTCCGTCAAAAGTCTCAATGTACAGACAACTTGAAGACGTTGATCTTACAGCTGAAGCAATTTGAGCGACCTGTCAGATTCCTGGGGTCTGATCAAGGAACTGAGTTTGTAAATCAAAAGCTACAACAAGTCCTCCGAGACAATGGAGTTCGTCCGCTGTATACAAATACGTATACACCCGAAGAAAACAGTCTCGTCGAAAAGATGAATGGTGTAGTACTGCGATCTGTTCGCGCTCTCCTCGTAACCAGTGGACTTCCAACAAAACTATGGGGAGAGGCATTCAAGTTTGTGGTAGCGATACGCAACTTCTCACCATCCAAAGCCATAAAAGGCAGTACACCTTACGAGTTATTTGAAGGTCGTGTACCTGATGTATCTGGTCTACGTGTGTGGGGCTCTGCTGCAACGTACTTCGTCCCTAAGCAAAGACGGAAAGGTAAACAAGATACGACAGCGAAAGAGGCATTGTTTCTAGGATATCCTAAATCCACGACTGGATATCGTGTCCTCGATCTTGTTACCGGACACATTGTGGAGTCTCGTGACGTAAAGTTTCGCGAACAGTGGACAGTGGCGGCTGACTATGTGGATCAGTTGCCTGACAAGTTCTGCGCGAAGAAGCCTGGTGTGGTGCTACCTGTTTCAATCCCGTATGTAAGACTTCCTCTTCATGACTACTCGAGCTCCTGTAGCAGCGATGAAACTGCACTGGCATTGCATAGCTCCGATGAAGTCGGTCCTATGGATGCTAAGGTTGGAGGCGATGTAGTGGAAGAGACGAAAGTTAGAAGAGCGGGGGAGCTTGAGTTTGATAATATCAACTCAGGTCCAACAAAACGCAGACGAACAGGGGAGCTGGCCCAGACTTATGATACTCCAAATTGTGACTCCACTTCTATAATTCGTGTCGATGGACATGAGAATGATACGAGATGCACAAAACACGTTGAAAAGAAGCGACAACCGGGTTTGGTTGAAGTTAAGCGACGTCAGAAAACACACACCAAAGACCCAATTGTTACACTTCGCAGATCAACACCTACACGTCGTCCAAACGTAAGGCTACATGGCTATTCGCTTGCCAATTACTTCATCTCAACTACGGACAAGCTGCCCAAGTCAGTTCGTGCAGCGCTTGCAGGTCCTGATGGTGATAAGTGGTGGCAAGCTTTGCAAACGGAAATCTCTGACATACAAGCGAATCATACGTGGATTTTAGTGAACCATCCGTCGGACACTAAGATCATGACCAGTCGCTGGGTGTTTGTCATTAAAAGGAATCAAAACGGAGAAATTGTACGCTACAAAGCTCGACTTACTCTTCGGGGTTTCGAGCAAGTGTCTGGTTCAGACTATTGGGAAGTATACTCTCCAGTTGTGAGCATGGAGGCAATCCGTGTTGTCATTGTGCTCGCATTCTACTATGACCTGGAACTTCGCCAAATTGACTTCACTACGGCATTTCTAATCGGTGAGATGGATGTCGACGTGTATATGGAGCAACCAGAGTTGTTCGACGATGGCACTGGACGTGTGTGCTTGTTGAAGAAGAGCTTATATGGCTTAAAGCAAGCTCCTCCGATCTGGAACGCAACTTTGAAGAGATATCTAGTGAAGCTTGGTTTCAAATCCAGCATAATTGCAGATGGCGTTTACGTCAAGTGGGTCGACGACTCTCCTATCTTCCTTACAGTCTACGTTGATGATGTCGTTATTGCGGCTAAAAATGAGGGTATTACGTGGCTAATTTTACAGTTGAAGAGTGAATTTAAGCTAAAGGACTTAGGGGAGATCAACCTCTTGCTGGCCATGAATGTAAAAGTGGAGCCGACACGAGTCACGTTGTCACAAGAATCGTACATTCAACACATTGTGGAAAAATATGGCGATCACACTGCTCGTGTGGTCCGTACTTCAATGGACCCAAAAGTAAAACCTATGAGACCCAGCAAACCCTACGGACCTGACGTAAACAGAAGTGATCTACCATTTCGTCAAATTGTTGGTTCCCTACAGTATTTGGTGCGTTGTACGCGACCCGATATCGCGAACGCGGTTCGTGTCTTGAGCAAGTTTCTTGACTGTTATACAGAGGAACATTTTGGACTGGCTCAACGCGCTCTTACGTATTTGAAGGGGACTAGTTCCTATGGATTGGTGCTACCAAACGTTTCTGCAAAGGGCAATCTTTCTATCGCTGGATATGCTGATGCTGACCTCGGCAATGATATGGACACTCGTCGATCTGTTACTGGCCAAGTTGTAACACTTGGTGGATGTGTTGTAGCATACCAAAGTAAGCTACAGCCCAGTGCAGTTAAAGATACATGCAGTGCTGAGCTCACAGCAGCCAGCTGCTGTGCAGATCGAATTCGATGGCTACAAAACTTGTTAGCCGAACTACAAGTTCCTGTCGAGCTTCCAGCTCTTCTCTGGACGGACAATGCTGCAGCTGTTCCGGTCATGACACATTGCAGCGGACATCACAAGATCAAGTGTCTAGATCTGGTGATATACAAGGTTATTGACTATGTCGATGCTGGTTACATTGTGGTAAAACACATGCCGTCTAAGGTCATGCCTGCTGATGCCTTAACCAAGCCATTGGGTAAGGGCAAGTTTCGCCAACATCGAAAGTAGCTTGGTGTCGAATGCCTGTGTACTCAAGTTGATGGGGATACAGATGAAGAACCAGAACAACAATCCGACCCAGATGACGCGCAAACAAGCTAAGGAAGACTTCCAGTTTCAGGGGAGTATGAGACCTGGACGACGCAGTCTCAGAAACCAGAAGTCTTTTTAGTATTGGTAGTCACTCGCCCGTTAGATACTTGGTTGATATTTTTATTTCTAACGGAGTCCACCAAGGGTGGAGCTCCAGCAATTCCCAATCTGCCAAGTGTGGGGCGAGTAGTGTGTTAACGCTTACTTCTTCCGTCGTACTCACTGTCCAGACATCGTACACGACCTCTGCAAGTGAGCGAGTAGGAGACGTTCGCTGTTACAATGTCACTACGGTTAACAACCGTGATGTTAACACCTGACAAGTGGTCGCCAGTAGGCTTGGTCTTGTCATAAACGCCAAGGTGTTCGAGGATCTTGACAATTGCCAAAGGTGTGCAAGGCAGCACGCACTTTTGCGTCTTCTCGTCGTCTACGTAGCGGATGTTACGGTACAAGTTGCCACGGTAGAATTGGCACAGTCTTTTCACGTCCTTCTTAATGCTGATGCTGTCGCGCAAAAAATCGTCCATGGTGCCACCGACGAAGCTCGGGAAGGCGCCGAAGCACGGGTAGTACACGAGAATACCGTGCACATCCGAGTCTTTGTTGGCCTTCTCCAAAGCCTCCAGCAGCTCGTCCTTGGGCACTTCGCGCAGCTCGTAGCGGATGCCGTTGCGTGCACAGGTCTTGCCCGTCCACTCGGCGTACTTCTTGGGCCGTGAGCCAGCAAACCCACGAGTTTGGGACCCACGCCACCCATGTCCTGCTCAATGTACTGGCGCACGGCCAAGCTGAAGGGCTCGGCGATGGTCGCAGCGTTCATTTTCGCACCGGCGGAGTCGGTCATCTTGATGTTTGTGGTAGACGTCGGTTTGACGGATGGCTGGCTGACCATTAAACGAAAACCGTTTGGTAAGAGCTCGATTTTTTAACGCTTTCGAAAAAAGGCCTCAATTAATATTTGATCATATTAGAAAGCCAAAAAAATTAAGAGTCGTTGTTTTTTCAAAAAGAAACGCTTTGTTTAACACCTTTGGAATTCCTTTTTATTTTTTATCGCAATGATTTGATAAAATGTCATTGGAAAAAGTGATTCGAAATCAAAGTGCTTTTAGAAAAACAGAAAGCTTTTTTCTCAGGGTGGCTCTTAGCCACTGCCACGTGTGCCATACCATGGCACTAGAGATTGAGCCATGGCATGGCGTGGTTACGAATAGACCTGCCACTGTGCCATCATGAAAACTATTTTTAAAATATACATTAATGCAAATAAAAGTAGCATGGCACATGGCAATTGCCCCTTGCCATGACACTTGCGAATGTCCGTGGCACTTCCTGTCATTTTATTTACTTTAAACGCTAGCCCTAGCAAGCGCTCATCCAATCGGATCACAGCATTTTGTGCCATGGCGTGGTTAAGAGCGACCCTCAGTTAAGCGAGCACTTTTCAACGTCAGACTTAAAAGCGACATATAAGCTCCTATTGCTTTTTTTTAAGATACCGTTTTCGAAAGCGCTTTTTTGTAGAGTACTTGAATTAGCTCCCCAAAAAAGCACAACAACATTTTTTAGGTGCTACAGGGCCAAAGCAGCGCATGTTTAAAAAGTATAAATTAAAGCAGTATGTAAGCGGGCACTCGCTGTTAAGGTCGAGTTGATTCAGACTCCTTGCGCTGATGGTACCGTCGTCGCGCAGTGAAACAGTACCAGTACCCAACACGAGCTAAGCCAAATTAGTGGCGGGGCAGCGAATCGAGCGCCTTGTTTTTGCTGACTGGGCTTATGTCTCCAGCCCATTTCTTTAATTAAACATAATTTTGACGTTAGTCCAGCCGATTTGTCAGTGGTGCAGTTTATCGTACCGGAACGATGGGACTGAGGTTGGTCTCCCATCTAACAACGCTGTGTACAGCGGGGACCATAAAGCCGAACACAAGCACGAATGCACTCGTGATGTGGCCTATCACGGCATCCCCGAGCTCCATAGGTGTGTGTGGTCTGTACAGCATTCTCTTGAAGTAGTGTTCTTCTCTTCGGAGTCTTGTTGGTCTTGGCGGGAATTGGTAACTGAGTCTGAAGACGGCAGCTTTGTGAATTAGTACACGTCGACCTTCTGGATCGCGGCGTTCTTTTGCGTCCCGTAGCATAGAGACTGCATTGCGGGACGCTCGACTGTGTCTCAGCTACGGACATCAACTTCAGCTTACGTGGAAAACTGTGAGGTCACTTTTGAACTTCAAGCAAACGCGTCTCTTCAGACGCATCGTTTTCTCGTCGTCACGACAGAAGTGTCGTGTACGGGGTAATAATACCTGGTGGTGGTGTGTACACTGTATATGCAGCGTGTGGTGTATCGCCATAGAGTAGATCTAATGCGACACAATGTTTCTCCTTGTTATCGACGAGATGCGTCCGAATTTTCATAATTGAAGTTGTCGCTTTTGTAATTATTAGCGCTATATTCTACAACATAAACATGAGATAAAAGGTGAAAAGCGTTGACGAAACAGAATGCAATAAACTTGATCGCGGATTGCCACCATTCGCGGGACCACGGAAGGGCAACATGCTGCACACGTCACTGTGTCAGGCGTTTCGTCGTCGGCAACGCCTACTGTATCGGAGATAGCTCCAGGACCGGTCAGTTGACGGCGATTGACTTTTTAGCCTGGATCGCTCGACCTAAAGAGCCTTTATGAAAAAGCGAGAGTCATACGACATACTTCCCGAGGTGTACCAGTTGGCACGACTCCGACGTGGCACTTGTTTCAACGCGCTTCAAAATGGTCGCCGTCGTCACCTGTTCGCTTCGCGTCCGACGACACGATGGCCCACCGAGACGGCACTACCAACGCAAAAAACGAATTCCCATATTTTGTTGAAGAAGGTTTTTTTTTGAAGCATCGCAGCAACAGTCACAACTTAAAGCGATGATGACGCAATGTGCTGCTAAATGAACGATCTTCTTGAGATCTACAAAAGAGGCTATTGGCAAGTGGGTTTTTCGCAGGCTGAAGTTGACGCTAATCATTTCTATGCTGCTATAATAATTACACATGCTCATCACGAATGGTGGTCAATGAAATGGGTGCCTTTGAGACTCAGTTACCAATTTGCGTCATCCAGACCAAGACCAACAAAACTTGAGAGAAAAGCATAAGAGAATGATGTACAAGCCACACACACCCATGGAGCTCGGCGACGCCGTGCTGGGTCAGATCACCCTGGCGCTTGTGTTTGTGTTCGACCACATGATTCCCGCAGTGCACAAAATCGTCATCTGGGATACAGACGACGTTGATCTGGGCCCGATCATCCCGGTATGAAGATCATCTAGTGAATCAATAACGCGGATGCGATATTCTAAGATGTTTTTATCCATGCAGGAATGGAGTGGCACTATTTGGCCGATCACAAGCAAGAGCATGATGCCCACGACGACCGAAAAGGCCTAGCTATTGAGTCGCTACTGCTGTTGCGCAGCAACCTTCAACTTCCTACCCCGATTGTGGCGAGCAGTGCAAACTAGTTATAGCGGTTGCATACTCTCTTTTAAATTATAAACAGGAAACATGCTTCTTAAAGTATCCAATCACTAATATCGGTACTACTTCGTAATACGTACAGTACGGTATCACAGAACAGCTCGGCAGCATGTGCGTCAATTACACACATGGCTGTACTGACAAAGTTGTGCGGCTACAGAAGGCCAAACACTTGTATAAGCAACCAGAGTGTACGAAGCTTTTAACCAGGCCAAACGATTACTCACTCCGAGAGAGCGCCATCGCTGTAGTAATTCCGAATTCAGTTTTTTGGGCCCCGCAGAATCGCCTGAATTTTTCAGAATCTGGAAACCCGGCATCAGGCATTTCCCACGAAAACGCTACATGTAGTAGTACGACATGGAACATTACGCTGGCAGTTTTTTTACTTTCCGTAATTTACCTGCGAGACCAGTCCTGGAACGTTCTTTCGAGGCAGCTGCTATTTTGACGACGCAACCTTGAGAATTAGTTCGGACCAGCGCGACGTGGCGTCTCATCATTGGTTGAAAATCATTGTCACGCGCTTTCTTTTCCGCTTAAGTACGCCAGAAATTCTCCCTCCTTCTTCCTCATTCCAGAACTTGCCGTCTCGAGAAAAGATGGTCAAGCTTGTTTGTGCGATCGTTGGTGTGGCTGGAAGCGCTTTCCCTGTGGACATCGACGCGAGCCAGCTGGTGGGAGACTTGAAGAAGGCGATCAAGGCGGAGAAGCCGAATGACTTCAAAGATGTTGATGCAGACAAGCTGCATCTCTTCCTGGCGAAATCCCTCTCTTCAGCGCGCTCACCTTCGAAGGAGAAGACGAATGACTTCAAGGGTATCGACGCAGACAAACTGCAGCTCTTCCTGGCGGAGACGGAGGGCGGCGCGTGGCTGTCGAGCGTCACTGAAGATGTGAAAAAGCTGAAGAAGGGGGAGAAGACTGCTCTCGTCGAATCTCTAACGCAAGAAGAAAAGGAAGTGCAGGGAGAGTCCGGCCTCGATAAAGTGTTGGTGGGGATGCTGCCGCCATCCACCGATGAAATCCACGTGCTGGTGGTGGTTCCGGATGGGGCTGGTGGTTCAGCGAGTGACACTTCCAGGATGGATCGTCTATTCGATAAGGTCGACAAAGTGTATGAGCACACTGTGCTGTCCAAGCGTACGCGATATGTCCACTCAGAAATGAACTCAGCCAAGGGAAACATCCTTTTGAACGATTTGAAAATTCGGATTTCGCCTGTGGACACAGTTAAATTCGCCGGTGGAGTTCCAACTCCAGCAAAGGAATTCAAGTGGAAAAGTGACCGTACCGAGGAGCAGCAAAAGGAACCTTATCGTGAGTACGTGGTAGCCAACATTGGCGATGTCTTGACGAATAACAAGCTTTGCGTGGTTGGTGTGGAAAAAGGCGTAAACATCCTCACCGTTGAAGTCCCTGGTCGCGATATTGTTCTTGCTGGTCGCACGGATATGATTGTGCTGAGTGATATAGCCCAGAAGTTTCCACATTACTTGCCTCATTTGCCTGGAGTGAGGATGTTGATCGAAGTGAAAAAGGTGGTGACAACAGCGTCCGAGTTCCAGGCTTTGTCGGAATTGATTGCATTGGATATCATCGTTACGGAATCAGTGATGGCACTGCTCACGAACTTGACAAACCATTGGCAATTCTTTTGGGTCTCCAGGAAGAGCGACGACCGTGTCATCATAGAGACTACAACCTTAATCGCGCCAGGTGAAGCATTTGCGGTAATTAGGACTCTGCTTGACCAGTCACCGAGTGCAGGTGCCGAGGTCAGCCTTCCGTGCTTTGACAAACCTGTGAAGCGTCAGAAGCTATCCCAGTTGCTGCCGTCCATCAGCGAGGCTAGTGGGAGTAGTGGGATCCGTGAGAGCATCGAACGATATTATGACATCGCCAGTATGTTAGGTCCCGACTTGGAGATGGCGCGTGCTGTGGCTAGCCAGGTTGCTCGATCTATTCCTACTTTGAGTTATTTCAGCTGATTCTTGCTGCGGCATTCTGCATTAATAAAATTCTTTTTATTTCTGACAAATAAAATGTTCTAGTATAATATAAAGTCCAATGACATACACACCTGAACAGTATCAACTGCACAAGGAGCGCATCAAGCCGCTCAGAAGCGCTACTACCTCAAGACGCGCGAGACTCGCTTAGCGTACCAGAAAGGCTACGACGATAAGAACAGAGATTACATTCGTTTCAGGAAGCGAAAGCCAAAAGACGAACTTAACGAAAGTGTCGAAAGCGAACCTAACACCGAAACCGAACT